CGGAACGCGGCGGAACCGCGTTCCGGCACCTTTTTCCGGGCCGGCCGCACCGGAAATAGCCCCTCCCACACCGGAAATAGCCCCTCCCAAATTTTACTTGCATTCCTGTTCTCTAAAGGGGCGGTCCTAGGGTTTGATGAGGGCGTGGCCAGGTTTGAGTTCCGCCACCTTTTCTCCGAGAAAAAAAGCCCTGAGCAAAGCTAAACTGAAACTCAGCTTTTCCAACTCGGAGCCTCAATCTACAGGAAGGCTGAGTGACTGGGGAGCTAAGCAGGTATGCTTCAAAGGGGAATAACAGAATAATAGAATTGGAAGGGACCTTGGGGGTCTTGTATTTCCACTCTGTTCAGGCAGGAAGCACTATATACCATTTCAGACAAATGGCTGTCCAGTCTCTTCTTAAAAACTTCCACTGTTGGAGCATTCACAACTTCTGGAGGCAAGTCGTTCCACTGATTAATTGTTCTGTCAGGAAGTTTCTCCTTAGTTCTAGGTTGCTTCTCTCTTTGGTTAGTTTCCATCCGTTGCTTCTTGTCCTGCCTTCAGGCGCTTTGGAGAATAGTTTGACTCCCTCTTTTTTGTGGCAGCCCCTGAGATATTGGAACACTGCTATCATGTCACCCCAAGGTCTTTTTCCCCCTCATTAAAGTAGACATGCCCAATTCCTGCAACCGTGCCTCATGTTTTATCCTCCAACCCTCTAATCATCTTTGTTGCTCTTTTTTGCACTCTTCACAGAGTCTCAATATCTTTTTTATAATATAAGCAGGTGGCCCTATACCATTTCAGACAAATGGTCGTACAATCTCTTCTTAGAAATCTCCTGCGTTAGGCAGGGCTTTTCAACCTTTTCACCCATTGTACCACTTTTAGGATATGGCAACATCCAAGTACCACCAGTCGCCTAGCAAGGTGTCAAAAACTTGATGACTCAAAAAAGAAAGGAAAAAAGTGATGAAGTACAGGTAGTCCTCGATTTACAACAGTTCTCTTAGTGACTGTTCGAAGTTACAATGGCACTGAAAAAAGTGCCCCCCAAGCCACAGTCGAGCAAGACACCTGCCTGCCCACCCGGCTGCGCTCTTCCTCCTGTCGGAGGTTTTCATTGTTGTGAGCATTTCTGTTGGGGATTGGCAGCGGGGGTGGGGTGGGGGTGTTTGGTTTTTATTCCCCCCCCCCCGTCTGCTGGGTGGTTGCAGCAGGTTTTGGTCACTTCACATGACCCTGGGACACTGTGACCATCATAAATATGAATCGGTTGCCAAGCATCTAAATGTAAATCACAAGACCCTGGAGAGGCTGCAACATTCCAGCTGATCAGCGCTTCTGGGCTCAGCAGAAGCACCAGGATCAGCGCCGAGCTCCAGCTGGAGCCTGGCGCTGATCCTGGCACTTCCACTGAGCCCTGACAGCCCCGGAGAAGCGCCGATCAGCCGGAAAGCGGCACTGATCCTGACGCTTCCGCTGAGCCCTGACAGCCCTGCAGCTCCAGCCATCTCCCACTCAGGCTTGTGTGGTGCTGCCACCGGTTCAGCTCATTCCCCTCCCCCGCTACCACTTTTCTAGGATGGTCGCGTACCACCTGCCAGGTGCCAATGTACCACAGGTGGT